TTCCTCTTCCTCTTCCTCCTCCTCTTCCTCTTCCTGCTCATCCTCCTCCTCTTCGCCCTCCTCCTCTTCCTCCTCCTCCTCTTCGTCGTCGGCCTCCTCCTCCTCCTCCTCTTCCTCCTCCTCTTCCTCTTGCTCCTCGTCCTCCTCCTCTTCCTCTTCCTCCTCTTCCTCTTCCTCCTCTTCCTCCTCTTCCTCTCTGCAGCAGCTGGAGATGGTGGAGCCGAGTGGATGGATTCACATCTCTCTGTTGAATCAGGTTTGAAACTTTATTTCTCTTTAGAAATGTTCTTAAAGAGTCGACACGATATCAGATTTTTGAATTCAGATGAGGACTTCCGTGGTGATTCAGTCAGATGAAGAAGTCACAGAAATCTCATCCTGACTGATTTTATTTAACCAGGTAGTGAATTTGATTTACAGTTTTTTTTAACCCTCATGCATCATTATGGACATTTTTGTTCATTTGGTCAAATGTTTCCTCTTCATCTGGTCATCATTTTGTCTCTGTTCATTTTGGAATGCACATTTTATTTTTTTAATAGATCAATCAGATGCCAGAATCATGTAATCAAACTGGCATTTAAAGGGTTAAATTCCTGATAATTATTCAATGTTTGGTAGTGTTGAGCAGGGCTGAAGTTGTTTAAGAGATTTATGCAAAAAAAGTAGAAAAAAATATCAATCTGTTCTATTTTTATATCAGTTTTTTGGAAGTGGACATTTTTGTCCTGAGTGACTTCAGAGGGTCTTAAATGAATCAGATGCCTGAGGGTTAATTGTTGTATTTTGTGGCAGAAAGTCGTGAATAAATCTGTAAAAAAAATGACCGCAGTGTGTATTTGTGTGTGTTCTCAGCGCACAAACGAGCCGATCAGCACCTTCATGATCCAGATCGCCGTGCTCGCCAACCACCAGAACGGCCGCGACACACACATGCGTCAGATCAAAGTCTACACGCCCGTGGAGGAGAGCTCCATCGGGAAGTTCCCACGATGCACCACAGTCGACTTCATGATGTACCGCACCATCAGGTGATCTGGAATGACACGAGAGAGAGAGAGAGAGAGAGAGAGAGAGACCACCTGAGCTTTGGAATATAAAAAAAAGAAAAAGAGACTGATCTGACAGGATGCAGATTCATGATGACAGGACGGATCAGTGTGACGCTGCTCATCATTAAAGTTTATTAAATGTGATGTTTTTTTTAAATAAAATGTTGAATTTTTAAAATAAAGCTGCTGATCTTTACTCCAAACACATTTAAAGATATGAAATACATGCTGTAAAAACCAAACAAACTGACCCTCCTCTAAAGACCTGATCTGCTGGACAGTAATCCCTCTTTGATTACGCAAGTCACAGAAAGAAGTCAAAACACAAACTCAGTTTAAAGGTCCAATCAGTGAGCTGTGTAGAGAGTGAGATGATAAAGGTATCTTACTCTCTGATCATTAAGGAAACATGCTATGTTGAAGTGCTGGCTTCTCTGACAACAATGCAGCAGCCAGTATGTCCTCCTTCTAACTTTACATTCTGCTCCTGAATGCTCTGGATTTGTTTGGACCAGAGAAGGTAGGCGCTTTTAAGACACGCCCCCACACGGCCGTTTTGGACGCCCCTCGGTTTGTCAGATATGAGAGCAGTTATCAGGTCAACAGGTGTTGCAGCGATGGAAGCGGTCAAGAGAAGTGGTTCAGATAGAAGTGATTGTACCCGACCTAAAAAGCCTCTGCATGTTTCTAATAAGCTCCACGAGCAGAAACGTGCTCAAACTAGGATCAATATTGGAGATGCTTTTGAAAAATGGAGAGAGGTTAAAACACTAAAGTAGAAAACACAAATCTATCTCCACCTCTCTGAGTCTCAGAGGTTTCATCATGAGCTGCTGTATATCCCACTTACACAGCCTGGCCACTAGAGGGAGCCAGATAGATAGAAAGATGAAGAAGACGATAGATGGATGATTTGATGGTAAACCCCAGTAGCAGAGCATCAGGCGTGCCGGTCGGGTGCTGATGTGATTGGTCGCTCTCAAATCTCAAACAATATTTGGTTCAGGGGAAATTGAAATTGCTAAATTATCGTAGATTTGTCCTTTTCTGCAATTATTTGTGTGTGTGTGTGTGTGTGTGTGTGTGTGTGTGATGGCCCTGATGGGGCTTACTATTGTGCTGTCAACTAGCTGCAAAGCCTCATGGGTAATAGATGAGAGGTCGTTTTCAGTGCCTTGCCAGCAGCTTAACTACACACACACACACACACACACACACACACACACACTCGTTTTGACCTTTTTTAATTTCTGTTTAATTTGGATCATTTTAATTGGCTGTTGTTTGCCCCACAGCGCCCCCTTTGGGTGGAGTGTAACACTTATAAGTTTGTACTTGAGTATTTCTATGCAGCTTTGGTACTTTTAGATTTCAGTAATTTCTTCAGTTTTCGACATTTGTATAATAAAGTATTTTTATAATTTGGATTATTCGTCACAGAGTTTCTTGAACTTTTCCCACCTTGCGTCTTTTCTTCCCCGAGGATACTGACGTGCGTGTGCTTGCAGGTATTTTTATGGGCCTGACGCTGGGGAAGTTTGGTTCCCCCCTTCGGCGCGGTTACCATAGCAACCTCCTCATGAGTTTCTGTATTTCTGCAGTCTGATTTACATTCAGACAGACTCCTGATGGTTTTCTTACCTGCAGTTCATCCAGCTTTTCATTCACTTGTTAAAGTCGTCATCGTGGCGCCGACAACCTCGTGGTTATGTCACACGCTCCATGCGTTGATAAAACGTTTCATATTGAAAAAGTCAAAACACTCAATATTTTATAAAACTCATCTTTATTCATCTCTTTTCATCTCTCTCTCCGCTCAGACATTCACAATATCTTCTTATAAAAAGCTCAATATTTACATCCTCTTTGTATTTACATTATTTTACACGATGACGTCATCAGAGCCTCACACCTGCAAAGGTCATCAGAGCCTCACACCTGCAAAGGTCATCAGAGCCTCACACCTGCAAAGGTCATCAGAGCCTCACACCTGCAAAGGTCATCAGAGCCTCACACCTGCAAAGGTCAGCGTCTCCGGAAAAGAGAAGAAAAAGAAAAGACTGAAGAGCTCAGACTGAAATACCACTTGTTGCCGGGGGAAACATCACCCGAATGTCTGCTTATTGGCTGGAAGTGTTGCCTGGCAACAACAGCTTATCGGATTAATATCTAAAGGGAGTTGTTTTATATTATTTATAAATATTTTATTTAATATTTTAGAGGCTGAGGAGTGACCTATTGGAGAATAACACGAGACTGTAAGGTAACTACGGAAGCACAGAAAGGACAAACTTATGAGATTGCTTTTCTTTTTTGTATGTAAAAAGACAAATAATTAAATAGAGCTGCAATGTTGATTCACTTTGGGTGCCAGGAGGAGTTAGTTTGAGGAATATGTGAAAAAAAAGCCCAAATTTAAAGTTTTTGAATTTTTCTGAGATTTTACACAAAAAATCTGAAAAAATAATTTGTAAAGACGACTATTATTTATTTAAAGCCCTAAAAAAACATAAACAAAAGTGTGTTTAGAGTAAAAATACTGCAGATGAACCCTTTAAAATTCTACATTTAGATTCAATTTTGTGATTTTTGTATTTAGATTTCAACATTTGAGAAATAGAATCATCTAAAAATTTTAAGGAGATTTTTTGGGTGTTTTTGTACATTCATGTAGATCTAAGTTAATTGAATAGATCAGAAATCTCATAAAAAAGTGAATAAGTAGAAAACGTTCAAAAGCAGATTTCAGAGTTAAGTCTGATTTTCTTACAGATGTTTTCAGATTTTTACAAAGTTTTGGAGGAATTTACGGGAATGTTTTTTTTAAATAAATGACGATTCTTCAAATCTAAAAGAGATTTGAAATATTATTTGAAATACGTATGACTGATTGAAATGAGTTGTCCTTTAAGCGTTCAGTAAAGCATTAAACTGGGTTTTTTCCCCACAGCAGATGTTTTGACTCGTCATGGCGAGAGAAGCTGAACGCAGCCATCGCAGTGAAAAACAAAAATGTCCTCCAGACGGCGAGTTAAACACATCGTCACTTTCTTTCACTTTTGGCAGGAACACGCAGTCGGAGGATTTGCACTACGAGTAAAATCACGGCGTGAATCTTCTAGGTGTGAGTCTGCGTGGATTAGTGTTCAGTTAACGTGTTGAAGACTTCAGTCTGAATCAAAGCGAGCGAGGTCGTTCTGACTCTTGTGGACGTGAGGCTCTGGATTATACAGTTCAGCTTCACCAGCTGATTTGACACATTTCAACAGATCTCGACCTCTACATATGTTACAGTACTGCACGGCTGAGACACACCGAGGACGTGAAGAGGCAACAAGACGGGAAACTTCACCGACAACTACGGAGCAGAAAGACAAAAAAACAAAGAAAATCTGACAAAATGACGATTCTGTGAACGTGATTCTCTGAACGTGATTCTCTGAACGTGATTCTCTGAACGTGATTCTGTGAACGTGATTCTCTGAACGTGATTCTGTGAACGTGATTCTGTGAACGTGATTCTCTGAACGTGATTCTGTGAACGTGATTCTCTGAACGTGATTCTCTGAACGTGATTCTCTGAACGTGATTCTCTGAACGTGATTCTCTGAACGTGATTCTCTGAACGTGATTCTCTGATTCTCTGAACGTGATTCTCTGAACGTGATTCTCTGAACGTGATTCTCTGAACGTGATTCTCTGATTCTCTGAACGTGATTCTGTGAACGTGATTCTGTGAACGTGATTCTCTGAACGTGATTCTCTGAACGTGATTCTCTGAACGCCGCCCGTCTTTGTTGCCTCGTAACGTTCGCCCCGTGCGTCTCCCGCCTTCAACATTTGGTACATTTTGATTGGTTAGTTTGAACAGCGACATTGACTTCATCTTTAATTCAGCAGCAAAAATAAGTCAACGCCCACATCGACCACCTCTCGCTTGGATCCGTC